TACCTCATCAAATCTGTGGATATCGTTAGACATAATGTTTAATATCTGGCCAACCGTTGTCTTTCCGAGTGATGAGTGACTTAAGCGCAGAGAGAGAGAGAGAGAGATTAGATAATATCACAAATTTAATGTGAATGACATACATAACCCCTCCAAACGCTTTATATCCCTCGCGGCTCTGATATAAAAATAGCGACAAATAAACACTAATATTAACAAAAGTATTGCCGGAAATATGAGAAACCAATTGACGATTGCATTCAATATAAGACTTCCCATAATTGCAAATACTCTCTATGGATATTAATAAAAAATATTAGTAATGTATTTAGATATACTATAAGTAAATAATTAAATTTTATTAATTTACAATAAGACAATCGTAAGCAACCGATGGTAACAATTCGTCCACAATTCCCGTGTCTTTTGCAAATCTGTTTAGTATTCGTCCTAAAAATTATTGTTTAATAAATCGTTAATAATTAATCATTAAAATCGATAGCAAATAGTGTTACCAATGGGTGAGCTCTCGAACAGATGTATCGGTGATCGCAATAACGCACAGAATATTATGTTATAGAGATTAACCGAAGATCTCATACACATTATGTAGAAACAAATGATGGACAACAGGGCCGACACAAACAGACCACAGGTTAGACTCGTGTAGATAATTATGTTGAATGTTTGATCCATTTTATCAGGCGTTTTGCGCACTTCATTAGTCCTAATATATTGATAGAAAATAAAATAAAATTTACTTTAGTAAACCCTTATAACTTTAGATCCTAAACTTCCCCCGAGAACACTTTTAGGCCCTAGCCCTCACTTTAATTAGTTATGCCTTTTATATTATATTCGTCATTTATAATGTACTTTAATACACATATGAATATTAAAGTGAGGGCTAGGGCCTAAAAGTTTTCTCGGGGGAAGTTTAGGATCTAAACTTATAACGTTAGTACTGACCATAAGCTTAACCAATAAACACTTCCCTGATAAAGGACTTGGGAAGCGATCAAAAACAAAATGGTAAGAATTACGAGCAGAGTTCCGGCGCCGGCCTTAATATAAGCCAAATAAACACTGGACTCTACGGATCCAATTATTTTGAGTTCTGCCTTAACTTCCTGTTCGTCCACTTTTCCCCCTTCCCTTACGTCCGTCACTTCCGATCTCTCACTAAGAGATGAGACCATCGATGGTGTGAGAGATGTTCTCCTCTTCACAGCTATGCTATCATTTTGTCCATCGGTTTGTCTCTGATATGCCATGAGATCAATGCCGCGCTCTTTGAGCTGAGTGTAGGACCCGATGGCCACACACTCGCCGTCGTTGAGCACAAGTATTTGATGCGCGTCTTTGAGAAACTGGATG